CAGGAATATTATGCTCTCTCAAAAACTTTAGCTGAGAAGACTACATGGAAATTCGCCGAAGAAAATGGCCTAGACGTAGTTACATTACACCCAGGCTATGTGATCGGTCCACTGTTACAGCCAACTCTCAATTTTAGTTCTGAGGCTCTATTGGATCTTATTAAAGAAGGTAATTCGCATTCTGCCATACACAACATTCATCTCAAGTTGATACTAATATGAAAGAAAAACATAAAAAAGAAACATTTGTATGAAGTCCATGATGGAAAATATTTCAAAAAAGTCATCACACAGTTTTCAATATACTTCAAAAGAAAAGGGAATAGAAAGCTTAAATATAGAGCAAATTTTGCATGCATATCTAGTAAGTCGATACTCTTCTTAACGTTATGTGCAGGAAAACCACTATGGCCTAATGGAGTGTACAGATACGTGGACGTCAGGGATGTTGCTCTTGCGCATGTTTTGGCATTTGAGAATTCATCTGCCCAGGGCCGTTACCTTTTGGTGGGTAGTGTGACTTATTCATTTGAAGCGATCGACATACTAAATAGAATTTTTCCGACTCTCAGCTGTCCTCCAACGTAAGATTTTATATTGTTAGGTTTAGCTCTTCTATTGCCTGTTACTTATTGCACGAAAAATACGCTTTCATTTCAAGTAATTTGGGAAAATGAGTCCAACCTTTAAGAGTTGGGGATAACACAGAAACTATCTGGGTTTCTCGAGTTTGACTCTCCCATGATTAGGGGCATAATTTATTATTTTCGTGAATGTAAGTAACTTTTGGAATGACTTATTGTTGATTATGAAGTTGTAGTTTGAAACTATCTTTCTTCCTTCTTTCTACAGATTTTTTCTTTTATTTTTTATTTTTTATTTTTATTTTTTGTGTGGTAATACCCAAAACCTGTGGATGTGGTTCTTTTATACTTGATAGAGGTTTGCCAAATAGATGTCTACATGTACATTGTGGTCACAAATCCTTGACTAGCTGTTGCTCCATAACTAAAGTTATAATCTCAATATATATTGTTATATTGCAGAAGTACAGAGGATCGACCTGCCAAGCCCCCATACCGAGTGTCCCAAGAGAAAGCGAAAAGTTTGGGTCTCGATTTCATGCCTCTTGAGGTGAGCCTCAAGGACACAGTTGAAAGCTTTAAGCAAAAGAACTTTCTCTCCTAAATTCATCATGTTAATTGATATTGTGATGCTATTCGATTACTAGTTGTGTTCATGGCTGTAGGTGTATGTATTCATACTTGATCTATTCAGCCAAATGTCAGTCTGAGTTTAATGTAATTTTATTTTATGTTATGCTGTGTAATGGAACCATATGATTGGAGCTATATGTGTGAAATCTGAAATAATTAGTACTTAAAGCTAAGTATGTACATCATTTTTACAAAGTACTCTTCATTTGATCAAAGCTACGAGCACCACAATTACCACGAAAAAATTCTTAGCTCCAATGAATCTAATAGAGTATATACCAAACCTTAGACTTTAATAGCATTATTGGTATATTGGAATAGAATTTGATAATAATGGGATGAGTTGAAGAATGAAATGAATATGAGAAAAGAATGAAACAAGTTTTTCCATTGACGTGTTTGGTACAGAAGGAATAAGACCTGAGTGGAATGATATTATCATTCTATATTATCATTTATCACTTAATAAAATAATATTTATATTAATGTTATTTTTTTTATTTAGGATAATAGTAAAATTATTTTATTACTTAAAAACATATACTATATTTTAATAAATATATCTTTATATTGTTACACTCATATATATTAGATAATAAATTAGTAAATTTGTGTATTCATATACATATTAACTAATACAAATATATCATTACATAAACCATATAAGCATATGTGGTCGGAAATAATTTTGTATTATATTTTAATTCCGAATAAATACAAAATATATATAATGTATAAAAATAAATAACATCTTTTTGTTTATAAATACATTTTTTAGCTTTATTTTTATATAAGTATTATATATCTAATTAATATATCCAGAATAAATAAAAGAGAACGTTTTTTATATTTTTTATTTGAATTTTTTTTAAATAATATAATTTAATTATGATTTATAGTATATCCGGGATAAAAAATGTGTAAGTGAATGATCATTCCATTCCTATGTCATTCTCTCATATCAATCATTCTTAAGAGATTTCATTGTCATTCTCCAAGTATACGAAAGAGCGAAGGCACTGAGAGGGGGAGAGGTGCATGTGCTATGTTGTGTAAATAATAAAAAGTACTAGTACAATACCCGTGTATTACACAGGTGTTGAATTAAAAAGTATATGTAAAAAAAATATTAAACCTTTTACTTAAAAAATCTTTAAAACTAAAATAATTTAATTTTATACACAAAATTACTTTTAATTTTAATTAAATTGTTAAAATATATATTTTTAATCATAATAGTTAAACACCCGTGTATTAAATGAAAATGCCAACTCATATTATTTTTTTACTTATATCATATAAAAATATCAATATTATTTACTATTACGTGAGTTAAAAAATACATATCTTCAATAAATAGGAATAATTTGGTGATATGCGTATGCATAAGTTTAGAATATATTTTGTTGAATATTAAATAAAATAAATTAATTTTTTATTTAATTAGATGCCTAATAAATCAAGTGTTGCATTAGTCGTGCTTCACATTTTTCTATCTTTATATGTAGTTCTAGAATTTAGATAACTATTTATTTGTTTTTACTAGATTGACAACATACCAATTAGATTTGAAATAAATATAATTTTTAAAAGAGTAATATTATATTATTTCATTTTTGAAATGATTCAAATATGAATATTAGAAAGAAATATATAGAAATATATAATATGATTGATTTAGTGAAGAGATGTAACATAAAAAAAATGAAACACAAAAGAAAGTATTAAGGTAACTGTAGAAAAAAAAAAGTATGGAAATAATGAAATAAATATTGATTGTTTCAATAAATAAAAATATTTAATATATTATGGACAAAATCATGTTTAATTTACAATTCACATAACACTCAAGCCTAATTATGTATCAATCCAAAGCATAGAATCTCGAAGTGCGCGAGCATGTCACATAGACTCAGCACATCAAAATTATATATAGGGGTTTTTGAACTTTATGAAGTATAACTATTATTTTGTCTATCGTTTCGATAAAAAAAAAACTATTATTTTGATTGCCATGTCTATTTTTTTTTCAAGATCATTATAATATTTAATATTTATGTAGTCTATATGTAAGTCTACTATTATAAAATAGAGTTAAGAAAAAATAAATTTTTGGTAAGTGTTTTTCCCTCCAAAACACTTCGAAAATGTATGTGATTTTTTCAATTTTTTTCATTTTTCCCGCCTAAATGAATTATTCGATTTTGTAATAGATTTATGGAAATGGGATTGAGATTATTCTTCCTTTTTTCGCCTATTCTTACTCCCTTTTTTTAGGCTTATATTTGTTACCTTTTTTTTACATCCGATTTTTTATTTGACACGATTTATTTATCTTGCTTTTCGTTTTTTTATCTATTACTATAAAATAGAGTTAAGAAAAAATACAATTTCAGTAAATTTTTTCTCGCTCAATTATTTCGAAAATTACCTTTTGTGGAAACTTTTTTTGAATTTATTTCACAAATCCCGCCTAAAGTTTTTGATTTGATTTTGAATAGGAAAA